TACTTTCGAGACTGCCAGATTGAGAAAAATTCTGTCGAGATCTACGAACTTGATCGGGTTTATGCAGAAACAAAACCTTTCCTGGCCCACAGCAGGAATGGAAACAGTAGAACTGCTCCTGTACACGTATTTTCTAGAGATTTTAAATACAGGGCGCTCTCGACACGCTCCTTCGAGTGGGGTAGTAAACGTACATGTTACATGGAGAGGATTACTTGGGCGATTCAAAGCTTGAAGCCCTAAAAAGCAGCGGGCCGGATGGCATTGTACCCGCGCAACTGGCTGCGACGCTTGGGACCTTTGTGAATTGGCATTCACTATTGACAGTTGGCTACTGTCAACGTGCTTATCCGAAGGGCAGCTGGCCAGGTTAATCGAAAAGTGCTTCAGTAACAAGGACTATTGTCTTGTAGCCTTACTAGACATTGAGGGAACATCTCACAACTTAATTCAGAGGCAACCACACTGGCCTTGAGGGAACTGTAGGAGGACGATTCTCTGATGGAGTTTATATGACAGATGAGCTTGTGCAGGGCGATCACGGCAAACGTTGGTGAGAACTCGGCTTCAAGATATGAGACACTAGGACACCGCAGGGTCACGTGCTCTCACCATTCCCTTGGAACTTAACCATAAACTCTCTCTTTCGAGGGATGACATCGAGAAGTGCCAAGGTTGTCGCTAATGAGGATAACGTAGCCGCCTCGCATAGGGGCAAATTTTCACAAACTCTGTGCGACTTGATGCATAGGGCACTATGGAAAGTGTTACTATGGTCCAAGCTATGTTGTCTCTGCGTCAATTCGTGGAAATTGAAACTTGTTCTCTTTACAAGAAGATACAAGTGGCCGCTACGGACTCCACCTGAACTTAACTTGCTACTCTGAAGCTTTAATAATAAAGCAAAATTCAAACAAATGATGTTTTAAATATCTTTTTGAATCTTCAGCCACTACATAGATCTAGTGGCTCAGCAGACGGGATCTCTCGCTGCACTTCAGTGAAGAGAGACAGGATAATGGGAATCGGGGTGCAGGGTCATTCCTGTGTCCTGTAAAATATAGTTCAGGTTCCGGATAGAAACCTTGTAGTGAAAATCCCAAGCAGGGAAGAATGGGTAGAAAACTAATATACTCCACAATTAGCTCAAAAATTATGCTCGACTACGGTCGATATCTCCAATNCAAAATTCAAACAAATGATGTTTTAAATATCTTTTTGAATCTTCAGCCACTACATAGATCTAGTGGCTCAGCAGACGGGATCTCTCGCTGCACTTCAGTGAAGAGAGACAGGATAATGGGAATCGGGGTGCAGGGTCATTCCTGTGTCCTGTAAAATATAGTTCAGGTTCCGGATAGAAACCTTGTAGTGAAAATCCCAAGCAGGGAAGAATGGGTAGAAAACTAATATACTCCACAATTAGCTCAAAAATTATGCTCGACTACCGTCGATATCTGCAACAGATGGCTAAAAATAACAGTCTAAACCTCATTTATAGATTATAGAGGGTAACTGTATAGCGGGCGAACTTGCGAGGGTGGTACGACCAAGCAGATTCTTCCGGGGTATGCCCATCGNGTAGAAAACTAATATACTCCACAATTAGCTCAAAAATTATGCTCGACTACCGTCGATATCTGCAACAGATGGCTAAAAATAACAGTCTAAACCTCATTTATAGATTATAGAGGGTAACTGTATAGCGGGCGAACTTGCGAGGGTGGTACGACCAAGCAGATTCTTCCGGGGTATGCCCATCGTCACTTGCAAGTTTTTGAGAAAATGTATCTAAATTTAAAGAGCTGGCGTATTTCTGTATTAATTGCTTAAAATAATTTGGCAACTGCAGAAAGCTTAGCTATGCCGCGAAAATCTATTACCATTTTTATGTAGCTGTGCTATGAATTATTCCTTTCATGCAGTTGGAAAAATGCCTTCTGTAAGAGGCAAATTAAATAAAGCTCTTAACGGCTCATTAGAGATAATCATCACAATTTACAAGAAAAGAAGTAAGGTTCTGATCAGGGTTATATCTAAAAGATCGCTTAGAGGAATTCAGATAAACTAATACATCATCGAGAAATATCACTAGGGTATGTATTGATTTCATTCAGCATAATTCGAAAACCGTGTTAAGCCGAGCAAGCAAATGCATACTTTTCAAATTATTCAGCCGAGTATATTGTAAAATAAAATGTGCTCAATTTCTTCTTTGTATACAGGCCACACGATTTAATACAATTTTTTATACAAATTTTTAAAATGGGCTTTCGAAAAATCAAATCGAACATTTGGTTCGTATGTTTGGATACCGCAATTTTAAACATCGCTTATAATTTCGTAAGATCCCATAATAGTAGGGTGGTAGACATTACATAATATTTATATTTTAGTAAATAATAAAAATAAATAGTCCCTTAAAAATTATGTCTTAGTGAGAAATATAGAACCATACAAATGTACACACTGAGTACATATAAATGGCTCTTTTCCCAATTCCTTAAGAAGTGCAAAGGGAAGACACATACAAAAACCATGGTTCTGATGCCAATCACCGCTTGAAAAAGTGCCAAATCATTATCATACAAGCCTACCTTAATTAAACATGCAGCTGAGGCAAATAAATAAAACGCAGATTTTTTAATTTTCATAAAATTTCAACGATTTAATTAAAATTTTTTATTTTCTTCATCTCTTAATTTTATAAAAGGATTATTTTGGTTTTTTTAACTTCNAATATAGTTCAGGTTCCGGATAGAAACCTTGTAGTGAAAATCCCAAGCAGGGAAGAATGGGTAGAAAACTAATATACTCCACAATTAGCTCAAAAATTATGCTCGACTACGGTCGATATCTCCAATAGATGGCTAAAAATAACAGTCTAAACCTCATTTATAGATTATAGAGGGTAACTGTATAGCGGGCGAACTTGCGAGGGTGGTACGACCAAGCAGATTCTTCCGGGGTATGCCCATCGTCACTTGCAAGTTTTTGAGAAAATGTATCTAAATTTAAAGAGCTGGCGTTCCATCTCCTTTCTTTAGTGACCCTGACAAATCGGGAGATTTAAACCATAGGTGCCTGGCGAGTTTCGTCAAAGATTCAAAATCGTTCACCAAGGTGGAGTGAAAACTCTTGGTTGTGGTATCACAACGGGCCTTCAGCGCGTGGCCTATGCATGTGTGTACCTGCATAGCAGTGGCAGGTTGTAGGTTGTGAACTCAAGTAAATTTGTAGAAGTTGATTTGCGTTTACAAAATCTCTGTTAGCAGTATCAAATGCTACAGAAAATAGAATACATCATTTAATCTGTATTAATTGCTTAAAATAATTTGGCAACTGCAGAAAGCTTAGCTATGCCGCGAAAATCTATTACCATTTTTATGTAGCTGTGCTATGAATTATTCCTTTCATGCAGTTGGAAAAATGCCTTCTGTAAGA